CTGACCTGTTGTGAGAGGTTTTACTCCCGCATACCTCTGAATTTTGTCGAAGGGCACCAATAAAATTACTGATTACAACTGCCAGACTTGGAATAATTTAATTTATTAAGAAATAAATTATTTCCACATATATTAAATGATTTTCTTTCATTCAAGAAATAACACTGCTTGATGTGAAATGAGTCCGCTTAACGTTTTTAGCTAATCTTAACAATCTATCACCTTTTGGTTTTAACCTAGCACAACTCGGTTTAGGAAAGTTCACTTGAAAACTTGCAATCTCATACCTAATGCACCAGTGTACAAAAAAAGCTTCAATCTTTAATTTCAAAAGCTATCGGAAATAAATTGTTCCACGGCGTCTTGGTAAACTGTGATGAACAAAACCAGAAAGGTTTAACTTCATTATAGTGTTGCAACAGCGGTTAAAACTGAGTCGATTTCTTTCTTCTCGTGCACTCGGGGCCGCTGCAGGCCGCACGGAAATGTGTGGCTGCGTCGTCGCCTCCTCCGCGCCCTTAAGGCTGCCCCTCCCCTTCTTCCGCTCCCCTCCCCTCCCCTCCCCCTCTCTCCCTCGCGCCTTCGCTGTCCCCTCGGGCAGTGAACCTTCCGCGGGCGCGGGCGCGAGCGCGTCGCCTGAATATTCAATACGCCGCCGCAGGGGTCGCGCGGCCGACCGCTGCTCGCGCCGCACAGTGGGCCGAAACGAAACTAAACGCGAGTGACGCGTTTCCGGAGGTTTCGAAAACAACGCATTCAGTTTCGTTTTCGAGCCCAACTCATTCGTTTTTTAGGTGTAGTTTTTGTTCGTGGTTATCAACCCGGGGTGGTTGCTCTTTTCACAAATCTCTTTGGTGTTTTTTTCTTCTACAACGTTTGTAGTTTACTCACTCCACATAATGAGCTGAACTTCTGTCTTGTTTTTTCCTTCTACACTTTGTTTCTTTCAATATTTATTCCTAATTGAATTCATTACCTCTCTCAGTATTTTAGAGACATTTTAGTGTGAGTTGGCGCGCTTTAACATTAATTCTGATTTGCTATTAAAATGTGAGCAACATTTGTATACGTTTTTATAGGATTTGCATTTATAATCAACATAAATGTGGACGCTTCGTGCGTAGATGAGTATGTTTAGGAAACATTCACGGAGACATTTTAATTTCCATGTGTCTCCAGTTTCCTGTAAAGGCTATTATTGTGCGGGAAATCGGTGATGGTGGCTTCTATCGTTTCAGCTTGAACGCTCTCTCGGGCAGGTTCACCCAAGGCTTCCCCTGAGCGCGCGTGTGTGCTTCGAAATGTTTCTCCGGTGTCTTTGGTTAGGCGCGCCAGCTTTCCGCCCCTACTTGTCGCGGTTCAAAATCGATTGATCCACCAGAAAACCTCCCTTGCTCCGTCACTTCTCATTTCATCTTCGTCGGTGTCATACACTTCTGCCCTTCTTCATCATCCTTGATGCCAACTTCAAGTCACAGAACAATAGACAAAGATGTGAAAAATTAACCCCCACCAAGTTAATTGTCCAACTTAGAGTTCTTGAGAGTTGGCGTTTCATCAGCTGGGACGGGGTATTGCCACACACTGTCGTGACTATGACGCACGTCGATGCTATGAACGTCATATGACAACGCTGCAGTGGCGTCACGAATTGAAGCTCCCGATTGGATAACTGAACTTCCTCTCCTTTCAACTCAGGATCAGTGAATCGTCAAGAAATTTAAATCGAGACACAAAATGGATTGTTTCTTTACAATCTACTTCAATATAGGTTTACATTACTTTACTCTGTAATACATGCATTTGAATGTATATGCTTCAGACTTCTGGGGCTTGTAAGGGGGTTGAAGATAACGTTTTACCAATTAACATGTAGTGAGAAATTTCTTAGAATGGTATTACACTTGTGGCAGTTGCCCCTAGTTGATAGGCAACTCATCATACACTAGTGTTAGCCAGGAGAGTGAAATCTCCTTGTATACGTCAGAGCGGCACCCTCCAAACACCGTGTGATTCGGGAGGGGGAATCACGGGAAAATGTGACAATTGTAATATGTAGTTATATCAATTTTCAACCTTATGTCCTTGGCATAAGTACTGAAATAATATTTTATTCCGAGACATCTTGTATTGCATTCGACACATCTCAGCCGTACGTTTCTGAAGATAGGAACATATTCGGAACATTTAACTTTATAAACAATTAAAATATGTATTAAAATACGTATGGTAAAGAAGTAGAAAAAAAATATTTTTTGGAAATTAAAAAAAAAATGTTGGGCGTTTGATTGAATGTGCGCCGCGAGCCCCTCTCGGAGCCAGGAGGCGCCTCCGCGCGCTGCCTGCTCGATGCGTGGAGCCCGCTCCTGTTGGAACTGCGGCCAGGGCGCCGTGGGAAGGTCGTCATTCGCACAGTGTTGACGAGCCGATACGCCTTGCGAATAGGTGTTAGCATTCCGGGTTTGCGAGCTTCATGTTAAGCCGTATCTCGAAGGTACACCTCCGATACTCCCAGTTCGGCCGACTCGGAATTAATGGTGCTGCTTTCGCCTTTCGCGGATTTCAAAAAGGAAAGAAGAGGAAAAACACTACATCGGCTCGTGTTTACACCCACGGTCGTACTTTGAGGTCGCGTTCAGTGATGGTCAGGTATCTTGGCTCGTAGGACGATGTGTTACGTGAAAAGCCAAAACGAATTCCGATCACGTGAGCCTTCACATTTCATTTTCTCTTTGCTATTGGAGTTTCACTGCCAGGCACTTTTCAGAAGGAGTAACTCGATTTGTACGAATAGTACGTAGAAATTACATTTTTGCTATCTTGGTTTTGTGACGTGGATATTTTGCCAGCGAGCTTTAAAACAATGGACGAGAGAGATGCCGTTGACTTCTTTTGGCGTTTAACTTCCACGCCATTTTCATACGGCGAAAAAAAAGTAACTAACGTGCCATTCGAATCAGCGGCAGCTGCCACCGACGCGCGCGGACTAGTTCAAAATACATGTGCATTAATAGAAGCTTAATATATTTGTGCATTACATTTAATGCTTAAATTAAAATCAGTGTAGATTTAATATAGAGGTTGTCCCGTTTCCCCTGCCTTTTATCATTTATATTATCTATTTATAATTATACCAGTCCATCAATATCATTCATTCATTCACTCATTCATTCATTCTCTATATGACCATAAAGTGTTGACTCTTGCATTCTATGTGTTCATTAACATTTAATGAGCGTTCATGGTAATTACTTTAGTGTGCATTTAATTAAAGTAATGCAGACATTTTCACAGTGTAGTCCCAACTTCACATCATTAGTCTCAACATTGTCTTGTGTTTTCATAATTTTGGGCGAACCCAATGTGAGTGGTCGCACCGTAGATCTCGGGTCGAATTCCAGAGCGTGCGCGGTTTGCGTTGGGTGCCCCTTGCCTGTCTCCGCGCGTCGCTGCTCGAGTGGGCGTGGCAGCGGCCGCAGCGGAAGGGATCGAAGCCACCGGCTGCGTGCGCGACACCCTCCCCCTCCCCCCCACCCTCGGCCGCCCCTTGAGCGAAACGCTTCCACCGCCGCCTGGGCGGAGAGAACACACTTCGAGGTCCTGACGCCGGTCACGGTTAAAGGAGGCTGTCGAATACATTCAGGCTTTCCTTGCTTCGTTTCCTTCTTCGTAAGAAATGATCGACTGCTTCTAATGAGTATTCTCTGTGTAATTTCGGTTCATATACCATAATAAATTCCAATTACTGAATAAAGTTGGGAGAATTCAGTTTATAAATACACTCACCTCTAACATGTATACCTCAGTATAGTTAGTATTAAAATAATTCTCAAAACTATGGAACTGGGGCCGAAGTGATGGTGAAACCAATATCTTTTACGAGGGGTTCCACCTATAAGCTTGGTATTTTTTTATTTAATCAAACTTACAAAACTCTCCACGTTCATCATGGTCTTTGTCGTTTAGTGAATGTATTTTCGTGTATGTAGCACATTCAAATGGAAAAATTATATGTCCAATGATGAATCTCTTGTTGGTGCCCGCAGCGTAATTGATATATGTGTGTAATTGTGAAAATATTTTAAAACATAAGTGTCCACTATTTATTTTTCAGTGTTATTATTGTTTTTATTGTTAAATTATCGTATGCGTCAGACGTTCTCAAACTTCAAACTCTTGCTTGATAATTACGCTCGTTAAGCGGAACGTCCCACACCACCTGGCCAAATGCTTTCGGAGCAGTCACGTTTAGCACATACGGAGAAACCTCGATTGACGATCACACCTCGTGCCGATTGTAAATTCACTCACTGCTGCTGCCAACCTCATTGACCACAGAATGGGGAGATGGGTTGTGGCGGCAACATATTCTCAACCAGCACAAGCCACGCTCGCAGAGGCGCCACTGGTTCAAGTATAGGGCCTTGGGATCCTGAGATCGGAGATAGGGGTCGCCTGACTGAAACCGGGAGTTTCATTTTTTTAAGGGTACGTTCAGAGTGGATACATATTCGAGTGCAAGTTCGTACGTGTATGGCCGCTCGATTCTGCCGAACGTTACACTCTTCACTTCATTGTCTATGTCGTTACAACCTTAACTACATTGTCCAGACCTCGTTTTCAAATCAGTCCTTAAAGAAGATACGTGATCGAAAAGATTAAACCTTATTGCTGACTATTGGGTGATATATTTTTGCTCACTCTACTTCATACTCGATATGTGAGTTCTGATTTGAGAGATATGTTTATAAAATAATTGCATTAGTTCCAATTGCGTTCCAATTGCGCTAATTGCATTAGTTCCAATTGCGTTAGTTCATGCGTTAGTTAGTTATGTTCATGGTTTCACAGACTTTTATCACAACTTTTATCTTATCTTTGATTAAATTCGCCATTTCGAGCCATACTTTTTGAGAATTTAATCGGAAGTCGTCCGTAGGACTTGTGTTTGTCTCTTCCCATGTTGAATGGTTCAGCTCGGTCGAATAATTCGATCGCCAATGCTGCAGGAGATGAGTGTACGCGCGGAACGTCGCTCGCAGGCAGTGCAGGAGGTGCTGAGTGCGCGCTGTGTGTTGCAGGCGCGCCGGCGGGCGGGCGCGAGGACGAGCTGCGGCGCAGCGGCGGGGCGGCGCGGCCGGGCCGCCGCGACGAGCGCCCGCCCACACGCTCTCGGGACACCACACCACCGCCCCTGGCTCCCTTGGCGGCGCAGCATGGACCTCGAGGTGAGACCGCCACTGCACTCCGCCTCTAACTCCCCCTCATCTCCCCTCCTCCGTCCCTCCCCTCCTCATCTTTGCCTGTCCATTGCTCCCCATTTCCCCCTCTCCCCATCTCACCTTTTCACCATCTCCACTTCTTCCCTCTTCCTCTTCTCTCCTCCATCCCGCCCTACCGACGCTTCTCGCGGCCTTCGTTTCTCCTCCCCTTCTCCTCGCACGTCTCCATCTCTCCCCACCTGCGACTCTCCGCCACATCGCCCTATTCGTTGCACGTTTCGTTTTCCTACGTCTGGGCCTGACTCTTCCTACATCGCGTGGCGTTCCATTTTGCTTTCCTTGCCTCCTCCTCGTTTCCATTTCATCTCTCAATACTTCCCCGTCTCACCCCGGCTCCATCTACATTACTTAGCCGATTTCTTGCTCTCTCTCTCTCCCTCCCTCTCTCTCTCTCTCTCTTTCACGTACACATACCCACACACACTGTGCAGAGACTCTAAAATGAGTAGGACGATTTTGAATATTAAGGGAAATAAATAATATTTCAATTAAGTAATGACACCTCGAATGCTGTCAAACTCATTTCGTTTCTATGTTAGCACGTTCGGGCAGATGAAGAGTGGGTGGATGCATTAACTATAAGGATAGTTGTAGCACGTCAGGTTTGGTCTAAAAAAAATGCACTTACTTAAACTATCTGACAATTTAATTAAACAATCAACATCACGATATTGACCATTATTATAGTTCATTAATTTGAATAAGTAATATCGACATTACGAACTATCACGTAGTGTCATTATAAAGCGTAAATCCCTTCCCGTAACAAGGAGTTTATTTCAGTCTTTATGTCACTTAAATTAGAGCAGTCATTACGCACATAAACGGAGACAAACAAACATGACACCTAAACACGTAACCTTCCTTGCGTTCAGCAGATCGGTAGAACAAGCAAACATAGAGTCCAGCGATCGGGAGCGCTCCAGATGGCCCAGGAAATCTGGCAGCCGCGTGGCGTATCGGCATCTGGACTAGCTTCCTGAAGAATTTAGTACGCGATTGGATGTGTGCGGGGTTGTAGGTGTAGGTCATTGGCGTTGCAAAGGGTGGGCGAACGTTACGACCGAAAAGAAGACCAAAAGATTAAAAGCGTTATAACAGTTATAAATCTGCTGTAGAGAAATAGAGTTCTCTTTTCACCTGTCCAGTAATATACAGACGGTATCGTGGAGGAAAAAAGTAATCTTATTCAACTAGTGCATATTTTCAGTTAGGGGAGAATAGACCATTTTAGAACCACGACCAATCCCGTGAAATTTTATTAGGCGAGAATACTTTGAGACATGGTATAACCACCATTATAATCGTCCCCCACCACCTTTACTATCATCCTAAGATATTAGCACCTCCTAGTCTTCTCCTTCTAATGTCGCTCTCCCGCACCAGCTCTTCCGCCATCGTAAGGTGTTGCCATCGCCACCACTCGTAGACATCTCCGTGATTCCATGCGCGTGCGCGCATGTGCACGCGTTCGCCAAAAGCGCGGACAGTGTGCCCTCTCTCTGCTCCATCTGCAGCCTTTCCCAACCCCGTTTCTTCCCTCTCTCCTTCAAACATCGCCCCTACCCATTTCCCCCTCCTCGATCTCTCTTCCCCTTCTTGCATCCCCGGCCTGTGCCGCTCACGACGTCCTATCCAACTAGTGCATTTTTTCAATTATATGCGTACCTTGATACGTGGTATAACCACCCCTAACGTTGCCCTCCCCCCACCACCACTACCCTCCACTATCATCCTAAGGGATTGCCATCGCCACTACTCCTAGTCTTCTCAGTGCTGTATGCGCGTGTGTGCATGTGAGCTTGCGCGAGCTGTTCGGCCTGCGCCTTCCCTCCCTCCTTCAGCGCCCTCTCGTGGCCCCGCGCGGGGGCGGATTCTGAAGGCGCCGGCCGGCTGGGCTTTCCAGCGGAAGCTCTTGCTTGAGAGGCACTTGCTACTTACCGCCCTCTCCTCCGCCCGCGCCGCCCCCTTCGCCGCCCCTCCCGCACTCCACGCGGCCCCTCGTTCATTTGCGGGGCGGCCTTATCTTTGGAAGGCCTCCTTGCTCTCCTGCGATTATTTCTTTTTTGTGAGGAAGGGTGGGCATCGATCCATTAAAATGCGCTCGTGCTTCCAATTTATTTTCTTGGGGATAAGAGAACGGTGACCGGGAAAAGGGCTAATAAAAAAATTTTAGAAGAATCTCACATGTAGTTTGAGAGAACAGTGAATAGAACAGGCTGTACTGGAGAGAAGAAAACAGGTAGTTCTGGAGTAAGTAGGAGAAAAGAGAAGTCTGTTGGAAGGAAGAGAATCAAAGCCAGTGGCACATGTAATTTGGCACTTCTTGTTCTTAAGAAGTATATTAAAGGGAATGATTAGAACACTAGGGATGAAGGATGACCTCTGTCTTACATAGCTTATTTGTGTAGATTGTCTTACTATACGATTCTGATAAAGGAAATAGGATTTGTAGATACGCAGGGATGTTCCTTTATGCTAGGGACAGAAAAACATGGTTGCTGCGACAAGATACAGGCTTCAGAAAATTATGAATAATAGCTTGTAAAAGCAGCGCCTTTCAAAATGCTTCAAAATTCCCTTTTAGAAACCGTGTGATTATACGAAGACTTTCCTATAGTATGTTTATTCCTTGTGAGTAACGGAAAACGACAACATGAGGGTACCTAAAGAGTCAATAAATGATGTAAAATGTGTAACCGATTTTTATCGATAACATCAAACGGATCGCTAATTTTAGAATCCTCTTGCATTGAGAAAAGAAGCTTATTCAACACTCTTAGATTTTGTCCCCTAAAAATCAAAACTACATTGACCCAACTGATTCTTTTTAAATTAATTTTCTGCACTTCGAGGGTCAAAAGAAATAGGAAGCTGCACATCTTTTATAATGTCTTGTCATAATGTTTGTTAATATTACTATAATGTGTGTCTTAAATATAGTTAATATATATTTCCAGTAACTAAAACTGAGTCTCCCACGTCGCAAATGGGTAGCACGTAAAAGAAAGTCTCGACTAAACGTCGTGTTTGGTCTAAAGTTTAAATTTTAAAGCGTGCTAGGAAGAGCGCCGTTTGCTGGGTTTATGCCAATAGCTCTACTTTCATTCGGAAAGTCACTAACTAGCACTGAGAAAGAAAGTTTGTTGAAAGGCTGAAATAGAGATTGCTAGATACCCAACGGTAGGTGGTTTAGGGTCTAGATACGACGCAGAACAGCAACATTAATAGCGTAGTTCAAATCCTGATTTTTAGTAAGGGTCTAGACTTGTATAACGTTAGTTCATCTTTAAGGTTTGCAGTCTAGAACTTACTGGAATCTCTCATTTCGAATCACAGTACCGAGAGAGTCTATTCACGGATCTCGGGGTCAGGAGTCCGAATTCTGAAGTCGGAGTCTTGTGATTGGAGCTCCATGATTCGTAATGGCGTTCGTCATTCTGTTCTTGGAAGTTCTGGTTTCGACCGTGGGTCTGTAGTCTTGTTTTCCCATACTTAAGACGCCGCGGATTCGTGAAATCGGCCTCTTTGCTGTGGTCTCAGGGCATGCGAATTCTAGCCAAGAGTTTCAGTATTCGAATTCCGATCTCCGAACTCGGCACTTATTGGTAGGGGTTTTAGTAAATTAGTCAGTTATTGATAGGGGTTCAACTGGCTGGACGCCCGGAACTGGAGCTCAGTGTTCTGATTTTCGAAAGCCGTTCTGAACACGGCTCTCCGGAACCCGGGCTCAAGACGTGATGCCCCGGACTCCGTCCCTCCGGCAAGGGCCGCGGTGTCCGGATTTCGGAGTCCCGGCCCGGGCTCAACGCCGAAGGGCGCGGGCGCTTCGCCCACGCAGCCCAAGGCGGAAGGCAACGCCCGCGCCCGCCCCCGCGCCGGATGCAAATTGCCGCACGGGCCATTAGGCGCCGCTGGGTTGTTTTATGCAGCTTCGCATGATGTGATTGGCTTTATGATGGGCCGGCCTTACTTCGATAAATATTCAGTACCGGCTGCGATGGCTCAGTGGCATCGTTGCCTCTCCAGCGTCAATGTCTGGGGTTCGAGTTCGGACGGTAGCGGCTTTTCGACTGCTTAAGTAGCTAGGTCAAATTTATCCACTATCAGGAGAAGAATTCTTGTGGCAGGCTGCTCAGCAAGTTTTCTGTGGTTCTCCTGATCAATACCACTCACGTACAGGAGCACTACCCTGACAAACGGGCCCCCGACTGCCAGTTCCTCCCTCGCCTCGCTCATTTACACCAATCATTTCCTGCCCTTCGCACTACGCATATTGGAAGACCAGTCGAGAGCTTGGAGACTCTCTCTGCTGTGACGGCACTCCCTGGTCGAGGAACATTCTGCAAACTGGAAACTGCGTGGCGTATCGGCGTCTCGTCTAGCTTCCTGAAGAATTTAGTAGGCCGGATTCGATATGTGCGGGAGTGTAGTTGAAGGTCATGGGCGTTGCAAAGGATGTGCGAGAGTTACGACCTAACAGGAGACGAAAAGTGTTATAACAGCTTAACTCTGCTGTAGAGAAATAGAGTTCTCTTTTTGTCTTTCTAGTAATATGCCCAGGTTATAACAAACATAATATGTATGACACTAATGTAGTAGTTGACGCGTTCCGAAACACTGCGCATTAACACACTCAGGCTGTCGTCTGCAAAAGCCTGAATAGCTGCTCTTTATTGCCCTTACGATGCATCACAGTCACAAAAAGCCCAAACTGTTTGTCCTCCCTTCCATTTCCGGCATACGGTATTTCGTTCGAAATCACGTGATTGTAATTGAATATATGCAACTGAATCGTGTCGCTTGAACTCCCTAAACGTGTTTTTTTCTTCCACACGGAAAACGAGTTTTTAATTGGGACACACAATTGTTACAGAGTTCTAAAATATATTTAATTCTCAGCTTTATAATTTGAAATTGGAGAGACACCAGCCAAAGTTAGCCAA